TGCCTAGGCAGACCTCCCTGACCCAGTGAGATGCCGCTGAGCCTACTGACCAGCCTGACTTTGCCACTTGGCACCAGAGTTGTGTCTGCTTTCCTTCTGATCACCTGGCCTGCCTGGATCCCTCCCTGGCACCCCATGAGCCTTGGTGCAATTGTGAAGTCAAGGGCATTCATGGGGCTATGGGAGGATGTCACCCTGCCCCCGTGGTGTCCGGACGCCCTTCCCTGCATGGAGAGGCCAATGGCCACCCCAGCCACGTTTGCTGGACACAGATTTCTCTGGTTTGGGGTCATTGTGGAGGAAGCACCACAAGCCTTCGTGGGCTGTTATTGTGTGGACATGGCCTGCTGTCCACAGGCACCTGAGACTGGGATTTTCCCTAGGGTGTCCACACATGAGGCTGGTAAGAAATACCACACCATCACATCATTTCACAAAGTCCTTTTGCCATTACATCCTTCTGCAAGGAACAGGAGCAGTCCAGTTGGTCCATGTCCCTGACACCGACTGGCACTGCCAAGTTTTAGGAGTCCTCATGACTGTGCGTGTCTTCCCTGTGGTTTGAGTTTAGGTTTCCTGATCGTCAGTTCTGCTAGGTAGTTAGTGCTTCACATATCTCCAGCCTTCTGCTGGGTCTTAGAGTGTGAGACAGTGTCTCAGGCAGAAAAATCTTTTTTTTTTTTTTTTTTTTTGGGTCCGGTCATGGGGCCTGAACTCTGGGCCTGGGCGCTGTCCCTCAGCTCTTCAGCTCAAGGCTAGCGCTCTACCACTTGAGCTACAGTGCCACTTCCGGTTTTCTGGTGGTTTATTGGAGATAGGAGTCTCACGGTCTCTCCTACCCGGGCTGGCTTTGAACTGCGATCCTCAGATCTCAGCCTCCTGAGTAGCTAGGATTACAGGCGTGAGCCAGCAGCGCCCGGCTGTCTTAAGTGTTTTCTGTTGGTTTTTGTTTTTGTTTCTTTGCTGATACCGGGGCTTGAACTCTCACTCATTTTAGCTCATTTGCTCACAGCTAGCAATCTACAACTTGAATCACACATCCTGCCCTGCCTTTTGGTGGTTATTTTGGAGATGGAATTTGCCTGAGTTTTTCTGAGTTGACCTTTAGTCATCGATGATCCTCCAGATCTCAGCCTCCTAAGTAACTAGGATCACAGGTGTGAGCCACCAATGCCTGGCTTATACTTTCATTTGTATTGACTGACCCACACCTATTTCCCGCTTCCAACGTAAAACTTTGTGAATGTTAGCATCTGGATTTTGTTGTTTCTTGAGTTTGTTCAGGTAGATGGTTAATTATTGGCAGACAGCATGATGATTCCAAGGTTTGTTTCAGTGTTTTGTGATGGTTCTGGGCTGTACCCCCCCCCCGCCTCGCCCCCCTTTTGGGGCAGAACCAAGTCTCTTGCTTGCTTGGCAGATGCTCTTCCACTTGAGCCATGACCCCTGCTTTAGTTACTCTTTTTAGTAGCATTCTGCCCCTGTCATCCAGGCTAGCCTGGACTGGAGTCCTGCTGCTCCTGCTCCCCGCTTCTTTGAGGCTGACTCCTGATGGTGTGGCCTGGGGTTCCCCCGGAGCCTCTCCCCAAGCAGAATGTTGTTCAGTAAATCAGCACTTGAACAGTCAGTGTCATTGAGTTGGCTGCCTTTTGGGAAGGCTCACTCTTCATTATGGTTTTGCATACCTGTTTGCATGGCTGGCTCCTGACACGCAATGTGCCCTCCCGCCTCCATGGGGTATCTGGAATTAATGAGATCGTGCCCTGTGGCCTTAGCAAAGATACTAAAGAAATGCAGGTGATGCTATTTGTTGTTGGTGGTAATTATCATCTTTGAGTCTTGTGTCACACCTCAGAGTATGTCTCAAGACTAAACTATGAAGTGATCATAAAACATTGCCGATTTACCACATGGGACTGGAGGAGGCTGGGAGGGGGTTCTGGACTTTGGGTGCGCCTCTTGGATACCTGGCTGTGTTCTGTGATGCCTCTTCCCTGATTGGAGGTTCTACACGCTGTCTGACCTGACAGTGCTTGAGTGGGACCTAAGTAGGGCTAGAAATCATTAATGCAACAGAGAAAGAGCTGTGACTTTCCCCAGATCCACAGGCAGGCTGGATCTGGAACACCGAAATTCATTGTTTTGGTCTCTGGCCCAAACATGCTAGAGCCATTACATCGCCATGTGGTAATTAGCTGTTCCTTTAATACTCGTAATAAAAAATTAAGCCTAAGAGATGCTTTAGCAAGGCCTTTTTCATATCCCAAAACAATACTCAAACGCACTGGGCCTTCAGTCCCCCAGCCGCGCAGAGACCAAATCACAGGCAGAGCTCGCGGGCATGTTTGAATGCTCAGCTCCTCATGCTGGGACCAGATTTGCTGCTTTGGCATTAACCTTTAATTGTGTTAAATTAAATATAGACGCCATAATGAATAATGAGGAGATTGCCAGAATTTTCACTTAGAGAATGGTGCTCTGGCAGTTTGATCATTTGTGCGTTACTTCCACGTGTCATTGGTTCCACACAGAATCAAGGGAAGGAAGCTGTGGTTTTCTCCCAAAGCAGACCTAGTGGATCCTAGCTAGACGTTGGTGCCTTCTGCCTGTAATCCCAGCTACTCAGGAGGCTGATACCTGGGGATAAGAGAACCTGATGAGCCATTTGCCTGGCATGAAGCCATGAAGGGAGAAAAGGACAGAAAGTTTCTTAAGAAGATATAGTGTGTGTGTATGTGTGAGCGCGCACGTGTGTGTGCGTGTGTGTATGCGTGCGCGCACCAGTCCTGGGGCTCAAACTCAGGGCCTAAGTGCTATCCTTGAGCTTTGTGCTCAAGGCTGGCCCTCTACAACTTAAGCCACAGTGCCACTTCTGGCTTTTTGATGATTCATGGAAGATAAAAGTCTCATGGACTTTTTTACTTTGGCTGGCTTTGAACCAGGATCCTCAGGTCTCCAACTTCTGACTAGCTACGATGACAGGCTTAAGCCACTGGTGCCAGTGGGAAGACAGTGAAATTTATTTAAAAGGAGAAGGAAGGCAAACACTGCACCTTGTTCTCAGAAATCTGTCTTTTTGTTATTACCACTCACAGTTTAGAAGAACAATCTCCCCCAAAATAGCTTCTAAAATCAACTTGAACATAAATATTTGAGTACTGATTCAGATCACCCTGAAAAGCCAGGAATGAGAAAGAGAAACCGTCAGTGGCTGTGGACACAGGTGGAGATGGGGGCTAGCAGTGGGGGCTCGGCTGATGGACGGGGTGGGTGCTGGTGGTGACGCTCCGGGCTGGGGCTGCAGCTGCGGCTGGGGCTCCAGCATGGGTCCCATCCAGGTCCTGGGGCTGCCTCTTATAAACTCTGCACAGACAGCGCCACGTCTAACAATCTCCTGGCTCCTGGTGGACACGCCTGCCGAGCCACTGTAGCCCCGTTCCTCCCTTGCTTCCAGGAACCTAGGGTGGTCTGAAAAATTAATGACTCTAGCATGGGAAAATGGAAGAGTGCACTTGAATATAAACCCGTGTTCATGCTCCTCGTGGTGTTTCACATTCCCCGACAGCAGACAAACTCTGTGTCCATCTCCCAAGTGAGGCTGGCGCCTGGCTGGAAACACTCAGTGGCCCTGCTCAGCCCATGGGCTCTCCTCTCACAGAGCCTAGCAGGTGGACTGTCACCGCCTTGCAGGCTGCGGGAGGAAAGAGGAAGGTCCAGCTGAGGCAGAGGGACATTTTATGTCTGTCTGCCTTTTTCTGGGAAGCCCCTGCCACGTGTGCAGTTGCCATGAGTTCAAATCCAGTGTTAAAAGGCCAGGCATGGTAGCACAGCCTGTTATCCCAGCTGTTTGGGAAACAGGAGTGGGAGGACCATAATCTAAGAGGCTATCTAAACACAAAATAAAGAAAAATGAGAAAGGAGCTGAAGGTTAGCCGGGCGCTGGTGGCTCACGCCTGTAATCCTAGCTACTCAGGAGGCTGAGATCTGAAGATCGCAGTTCAAAGCCAGCCCGGGCAGGAGAGACTGTGAGACTCCTATCTCCAATAAACCACCAGAAAACCGGAAGTGGCACTGTAGCTCAAGTGGTAGAGCGCTCGCCTTGAGCTGAAGAGCTGAGGGACAGCGCCCAGGCCCAGAGTTCAAGCCCCATGACCAACAAAAAATAAAATAAAAAAGAAAGGAGCTGAAGGTGTGGTTTAAGTGGAATAGTGCCTGCCTGATGAGCTCAGGGCCTGAGTTCACCAGAACTGCTCCAGTGCTAAGCAGGGAAATCTCACAGACGTGTTAACGTGGGTATGTGTCCTGTTCCCTTGGCCTCGGCCTCTCAGGCCTGTCTCTGATGTCCTTCAGCTCTCGGTGTTGTCATCTGGAGCTTCTGGGTGCCCAGACATGCTTTTGTGGGCTCTGCAATCTTGGGGTTCACAGCCACTCACCTCTGCTTTTCCTGGCACCTTCCAACAGCAGGATATGGTAGCCTGGGCTTAGATACGCCAAAGATTCAGTTGACCTACAGGCCATGGATGATAGCCCCTTGGAGCTGGCAGGCTTGAGTCTGTATTCCCACGCTCAGCCAGGGAACCCTGGGCCTGGCCCTGCATCCCCTAAGTCACAGCTCCCCTCCTATCACATGATTCCTTCCCAATGTTGGCGAGATGTCCCATGCTCTCAAGCCTCCTTTGTTTCCAGCCTAGAATGACTGGACCCTGGGCCCATGGGCAGCTCAGGAACCAAGGAGGGTGAGCCAGGGAGGGCTCCCTCCCTTGCCAGCCAAGTTTCTCTTAGTAGCAAATCCCTGTGGATCCAGGGCTGTCTCCAACCCCTTTTCCATATGTGAGGATGCTGGGAAGAGTCGTTTCTCTGTCAAGTCGTTTCTCTGTTCAAGGCCCCAGGGCGGCCTGCGGGAGGTGACTTCCTGGGCCTGCAGGAGGCGTCCCCCAGGACTCTGTCTGGGCATGGGTTGGTGTCCCAAGAGGGCTGACATGTGCCCTCCTGCCCTGCAGATCCCGTGCCAGCTCTGGACCTAGGGCAACAGCTACAGCTCAAAGTACAACGCCTGCACGACATCGAGACAGAGAACCAGAAACTTCGGGAAACACTTGAAGAGTACAACAAGGAATTTGCTGGAGTCAAGAACCAAGGTTGGTGGACCCTGTGCGCCTCACCCAGCCCCTGGCTCTTGCTTTCTTTCTTTCTTTAATTGCCTTTCCCATTCTGTTGGGACTAGCTCTTAATTGTCAGCCACGTCATGAACCTGGGTGGGGTGAGAGGCAGAGTTGTTAAAGAGAGATAATGATAATGCTGAGCACTGAGAAGTCAAACTTTTGCCTCCACACAATAGTTACATGGGATTTTATTGCCTTCCATGGAGGCTGATCAGGATTCTTTGAAAATCCCTCCCGGACTGTCACGTGGTTGAGTCTGCCTCTTAAAAGGCTGGTGTGTTGCCTGGGGGCGACACCTGTCAGGGAGCCAGCCCCTGATCAAAGGGTCACACACACACACAGAGTCATTCAATAATTGCTGCGGATCCATTAAGGCCCAGACTAGACGCATCCTCCTTCCCAGCCGGCTTCACCTACTCATTAGGGAATCTCATGAAAGCACGCAGCCTGTCTTCTCCCGGCAGAGAGGGCAAAGGTGGCCTGGCTCATCCCCTCACACTGCACCAAAGGCCATGTCTCCAGAACCCCCGGGCTACCCAGCTCCTTTGTCCAGGGGAAAGCTTGCGGTCGGTCTGACTGCCCTTGAGCCTAGCCTGGGTGTTCTCCTTGGAGACCTGTGGGCAGGAGGCCAGTGGAGGGCGTGGCACTGGCTGGCTCGCTCCTCCCTGGGCTTCCATTTAACCTGCTCGGAGGACAGATGAGAAACAGCAGGAAACGCCCTCCAACATTAAGGGGCTGCCCATGGAAGGATCCAGAAAGAGGAGGAAGATGTAGAAAGAGCCAGCCCAGGTGCAGAGTTGCTGTGGTCTAGCCCCCAGCCAGCAAGGGTTGTGCAAGGAGGATGGGGAGATGGCCAGTGCACTGCCCAGGGACTCAAAGGACAGCGCTGTCCTGCTGAGTGCTGGGCTCAAGCTGCTATTCTTCTATACCTTCTCTCCCTGGAGAGAAGGTCTTCAGGGTCTTCAGAAAGAGCCCAGCAGCAACAGTCCAGGCACCTAGCAGGTTGTCTGAGAGGGAGCCACGTCTGCTCTGCATTTTCTGTAGTTGGAGGTCCGTGGGGGAGGCCATGGGCTACATGTGCCTCTTTCCCTTCACCCTGCATGCCCCGCTTCCATTGCTGGAGCCCCGCTGGTCCTGGCCAGCGAGCATGTGTGGGACAATCTCTCTCAGAGGCCTCTTGGGTTTGTTTGTTTTTTTTTTTTTTTTTTTGGGTCCGGTCATGGGGCCTGAACTCTGGGCCTGGGCACTGTCCCTCAGCTATTCAGCTCAAGGCTAGTGCTCTACCATTTGAGCCACAGCATCACTTGCAGCTTTTTCTGCTTATGTGGTGCTGAGGAATCGAACCCAGGGCCTCATGCATGCAAGGCAAGCACTCTACCACTGAGCCACCTTCCCAGCCCCTCTTGGGGGTTTTATGCAACAAAACCTACAGCAAGACCTAGGAACAGAAGCCCTAGAAGACCCCTCCTCCCCCAGCAAATATATCATTTTGCCAGAAATTTTTCTTCCTTTAGGCCTTCCAGGCCTCCAGGCTCCTGTGTGGGAAGGGCAGTAGACGTAGCTTATTTTCAACATGGCAGTAGTGCAGGTGGTTAAGAAGGTAGAGCAGAGAGTTTCTTCCACATTGTGGGCTGTGGACCTCATAATGATGGGTTTGGGGTATACCTAGCAAGTGCCTTATCCTTTCTGCCACCTCCTGCATGTGGCAGGGAACATGGGAGGCCAATGTGACCCCATTTGCTGAGATGTCCCAGAAGGAACAAAGTACGGATGTGGCACTGAGGGGCCCCGAGTGCTGTGGAGACAAGCGTCCACACAGGCACCTGGACCAGGGCCTCGGAAGAGTGCTGCTAGCGCCATTGTCTGACATGGTCCTGTCCAAGGATGGCATCCTGGAGCCTCACACCACCCACCCACAGTCTGGGTGACCCCACACCTGCTTCCAAGGCCCGGCAGGGCTGGTGGTTTTAACTCTGCCTTCTCACCCAAGAACCCTCAAATTCCACCCAATGGGAAAGGCCAATTGCTTTGCTTAACGAAGCCCTGAGCTTAATCGCCACACTGCATGGGCTCTGGGTCTCCTGCTCCTGCCCAGACCCACAAATGTTGGTGGGAGTGCACAGGGTGGCCCTCGGGTCCAAGGCCATAGCTCTGCCAGCTGCCCAGCCCCCACCCCATCTCCCCTGAGTCCCCACTGGCTCATAGCCAGGCCAGACACCGCTCAGCCCTGGGTCCTGTGCAGGTCCCAGTGGGGCCCCACTCCCCTCGCTGCACCTACTTGGGTGATCTCAGTTGGAGGAACTAGCAGCTGGAGCGGAAGTGCCGTGGTTGGGGGCGTGGCCCCCTCCTAGGGCCCTTGGCCACCAGCATGGCAGGCTCGCTGCAGGCTCAGGTGGGTTCACTGCAGGCCCCAGTGCTCGGGCTATGCTCTGGGCACGTCCAGGTCCAGGTCACCCACCCACACCCAGCAGAGTCCCTAGCCAGGGCCTGGGTCCCCCAGCACCCAAGCCTCAGGGTGGATCCCCAGCCAGAAGGAGGTGACACTTGAATCATTCAGTGCCCACATTTTCCTCCCTGCATGGCGAGGTCCAGAGACAGTTGATTCCACTCCAAAAACTGCTTATCCACAGTGAATTGCCCTCCTTCCTTCCCAGCAGTGTCCTGAGTGCTGCCCAGGCTCCATCTGGCATGGGGGGGGGGGGAGGTGGGAGGCTCCACGGATGCAGATCCACAGACACTGCCCGTGGAGCAGCTCAAGTTAAAGCGCGCGCCCGTCCCCTAGGTTGGGATCTGGTTCCTCCCAGGGCAGAGCCGCCCACCTGACTGTCCTCCCTCCCTTCCTGCGCAGAGGTGACCATCAAAGCGCTGAGGGAAAAGATCCGAGAGTACGAGCAGACAGTGAGGAGTCAGGCAGAGACCATCGCACTTGAGCGCGGGCAGAAGCTGCAGGATGACTTCGCTGAGAGGGAGAGGTGAGCGCAGCGCGGCCACCAGCATGCCCCCTCCCAGCTGTGGACAGGCCCAGTGGCCAGCACCCTTGGCCTCCATTTGGGAGCCGCCCCCAGCTTGAGAGCTGAAGCACCTTTTGATATTCAGCATCATGCACGCATGCACGCACGCGTGCACAGAACATGGTGATTTGATTTACTATTATCTCTTTCCATTCCTACAGGGCTTCCTAAATCCAGGAGTCACATGCCCTGAACCTCCCTGATCAGAAAACCTGACATGTTCCCACATGCAGGCTCCCCCTACCCCCAGTATGGGGGTTTGAACTCAGAGCCTCAGTCTTGCTGAGCTGGTGCTCTTTCACATGAGTCACGCCACCAGCACTTTTTACTTTAGATTATATTTTAGATGGGGGGGTCTCACCTTTGCTTCATTTGGGCTGGGACTACAGTCTCCTACCAGTGCCTCCCACATAGCTGGACTTACAGATAAGTGCCATCGTGCCCAGCTTCTTGGTTGGGATGTTAAACCTTGATCCCCCCAGTGTCTACTTCCTGAGTAGCTAGGATTTCAGGCATGAACTGCCATGCCCAGCCTCTGTGCTCAGTGGAAGAGCCTGTGTTCACCATGGGTGAAGCCTCCCTGGCTGCACTCCCCAGCAAATATTCCAAAATTCAGCCTTGTTACATCCTCAGGCATTTCCAATGACAGATACTCTTACTGTAAACACTGTAACCATTCCATCTAGCTGATGTGTAGTCTAGATTTCTAACGATTTGCTTTATCCAGAACTCTCCATTTTCCACTAATATGATAACTTCATGAAAGTTAGATTTCTTACAGAACTATAAGGAGATTGCCAACTCCTGCAGTATATGTCAGGTTTCTAAACCCTTTGGCTATTTGGGACTGGTGGTATATGCCTGTAATCCCTGCAGTCAGGAAGCTTAGGCAGTAGGATCTCAAGTTTGTGGCTACCCTGGTCTCTATCACAAGTTCCAGGTTAACTTGGGCATAGCAAGACCCAGTCTCCCAAAACAAATCAAAACCAAAAAGCCCTTTTGTTAAATTAAGATGAAGAAGTGCATGTAGCCGCTGCCAGGAAGCCCTGGCTTTGCAGTCCCTCGGACGAGGCCCTGGGTGTCGTGGAATGTCAAGGTGTCCTGTGTCCCTTATGGACACCTGTGGGATGGGCTCTGCAGACCCGGATGTCAGGGCAGGAGGGGCAACTCAATGATGAAGGAAATGCCTGCCACTTCAGGGAGGCCCTGTGCTTGCACACCAAAGCTGGCCTTGCTCACAGAGGAGGAGGATGGCTGCTTCCTCTCCCTGGGACCATATAGCACCAGACCTAGGCCAGCCAGCACCCAGGAGACATCATTTCACAGCGGGAGAAGCCGTCATTTCACAGATCCCCAAAGGCAGGACTGTGAGGCTCCATAGCTAGCCTCCCAGCAGCACGAATGTGGCCTCCCACATTACTACAAGACTGAGTGGGCATGGGTGCTACCTGTACCCCCTTCCTCCTGCTGGAAGAGCGAGGAGGAAGAACAGCCACAGGGCTCCTAAAGGCCAGCAGAGCCCTGACCTTGCTGCCGTGGAAGCCGTCCTAAAGCCAGCACTTGGAACTCATTGTTCTCTCTCCCTGTAATTGATCATGGGAAGAAATGCAAGCCATCTAAACACCCCAAAATGAGAACTGTGCAAGTGAGAAATAGGCCAGCCCTACCTTGAACATTATTTAGCCAGGAAAATACTAACTGGAATTCACAGAACTCTGAGAAAGCAACCCAGCGTAGTGGGAGTAGAAGGCCACAGTACAAAGTTCTGCATCTGCCTGGGCACCAGGTACTTCAAAGTGTGCAAGCTGGATAAAAGGATTCATTCTGCTAAAAGATATAAATACCCAGATGCCAGGGGCTCACGTTTGTAATCCTAGCTACTCAGGAGGCTGGGATCTAAGGATCATGGCTTGAAGCCAGCCTAGGCAGAAAAGTCTGTGAAACTCTTTATCTCCAATGAACCAGCAAGAAGCCAGAAGTAAAGCTCTGGTTCAAGAGGTAGAGCACCAACCTAAGTGAAAAAGCTTAAGGAACAGCAGCTGAGGCTGAGTTCAAAGCCCCAGAAAAAGATGATATACATGACTGGTTGATTATTGAAGAAATGATAAAGCTAGATATTTATTACCCCATTCTTTAGACACCCTCCCCCCAAAAAGAAAAAGAGTGGGACCTAGGATTTAGAGTTTAAAAAAACAACAACCTTGAATGCATCCAATGAGAGGATTCAGGCACAACATGAGGTGTGGAATGATGAGGCTTTTCCTGGGAAAGGAGCCATGAGGCCTGGGTCCGGGACGATGCCAGTCACTTCCATCCATCTGCAGCCATTCCAGGGCGCAGACAGAAGCGGTAGGGCCAGGGACAAAGGTGTGCAGAGGGTGAGCTCCGGCCACAGGTGTGTCCTGGCAGTGGATCTTGGGTCCGGCCCCCTGGGCTTTCCTCTCTTGATGGGAGAGTCTGGTTCCCCAGTCTGACTCCCAGCTCCTGGGCGCTGCCTGGTTATTACTGGTAATTATACCCATCCGGGCGATCTATCCTGCCAGCTCCACTGTTCCAGGGCTGGGGGCCAAGCCCTTGTCATAAAGATGCCCTGGCCTGTCCTGCCTCTCCCAGAGCCAGACCGGGCACTCTCCAGGCTGCTGAGTGCCACAGGTGGTAGGCAGCCATGACCACATTGACCTTCTCCCCTTCTGTTCCAGAAAGCTGCAGGAGACCCAGATGTCCACCTCCTCGAAGCTGGAGGAAGCAGAGCACAAGCTGCATACCCTGCAAACAGGTGGGGCACTCCGTCCTGGTGAGGTCAGATGGGTGAGCCATGGGGGACAGCATGCTGCACCCCTGCCCTCTGCCGCCTGCTGCCCCTCAGATGCCCCCCACGCTCCAGGCCGCTCCCTTGACTTCTTAGTCACCGGGCTGAGTTGCTGAGTGTGGAGGTGGGAGCCCCCCCCATGGAGGTGGGAGGGCCCCCCCAACCCGCTTCCTGCTCTTCTCTCCAACAAACACGGCTGCGTCACACACTGTCAAGGGCTGACATTTCATTTGGAACAATAATAAGAAGGGGGAAAAAACTTCTACCCTAAGCGAAGTTAAGGAGAGCACTAAATAGCAGAACCTTTTACAGTTTAAAAGATACCAAAAAAGGGGTGCTTGGTTGGCACTCTAAACTGCATGGGGGAGGGGGAGGGTTCTCCCCCCCCTTTTTTTTTCCTGGAAAGGAAGCAGCACTGTTATCTGTTTCAATAAAACATTAGAAGATATCATCCAAGTTCCAACACATGGCAGGGGTAGAAAACAATCAACAAGCACGTTCACAGCAAAACCAACAATATTCCAAAAAATCTAATCACCAGGCTAGCGCTGCAGCTCAGTGATAGAGCACATATGAGACTCTGGGATCCATCCCCGCCCCATGCACGCTTGCATACGCATGCGCACCACCACTGACACATTCACACACAGGCCATCGACAGACCCGTGAGAGCAGGGCCCCGTGGCCAGGCCAAGGGTCAGAGCACTTGAGATCACAGAAGAAATGTCAGCAGCTAACGTTCACACACTCACGGTTCTGACACTCAGGGAGACGCAGGGTAAGATTGTTTTGCCTAGTGGCCTGTCAGAGGTTTGGAGTTGGCTTCACTTTGTTTGAATGTCGATGCCTATATGTGTGGGTGCCTGCTGCCCAGGCAGCTTCCTGGCAGGCCGTGAGCAGGTGGATGATGTTGGGGCTCAGCCCCAGGGCTTGGTCTTTGAGTGTCCCAAATGCAGACTGATTGGACAATTCACTGCCTGTGTGCTGAGCTAGGATGGGGTCCAGCCATGGAGCAAACAGCCCACCCCACTTACACGGGGAAAAAGCTGGAGAGAAGCTCTAGCTGCTATTGTCTGCTCTCATGGCTTCTGTCCCTGTCTTTAAGCCCTGGAAAAAGACCAGAATTATTCAACCTGGTGATCTTTTATTTATTTTAGTTTTTTGTCAGTTGTGGGGCTTGAACTCTGGACCTGGGCGCTGTCCCTCAGCTCTTCAGCTCAAGGCTAGTGCTCTACCACTTGAGCCATAGCACTACTTCTGGCTTTTTCTGCTTATGTTGTGCTGAGGAATCAAACCCAGGGCCTCATGCAAGGCAAGCACTCTACCACTGAACCACCCCCCCTTTTTTTTTAATAAGTGAAGTATGTATGTCTCTCCACATACATACATGCAGCCAGACACCACCTGGTAGTACCACTGGGCTATGTAGCTGTGGCATGGCTGTACATGGTGAACGCCAGTCACTTGGCACAGCCTCTTTTTTTTTCCACCTCCCTTGGAAACACAGGGTCTTACTGTATCGCCCAGGCTGGCCACCACATACAGTCTTCCTATCTCCATATGAGGGTTGGGACTACAAGCATGCACTGCCACACTTGACTGTTGCTACATCCAACAGATATAAATGCTACTAGCTGATGAGGCTGTTGCTGGCATCACATGGCACAGGGTTTTGTAGTCAGCTTGTTTCTTTAGTAAGAAGGAATCATTCTAAAGTAGGACTAAGGAAATTGTATGGTAAAAACAAGAAGCAGTAGCATATTGGCCTGGCCTTGAGTTGTACACTGCATAGGCTACACCTCTACACACCTGCCACTTGGCAGGTTTGTTTACATCTGTACTGGTGCTACTCAAAGAGGACACATTACTGAGCCATAGGAATTTTCCAGCCCTGTCACAGCCTCTAGGTTGTCAGTGACAAAAACATACAGGGCCAGGAGTCAGTGGCTCATGCCTGTCATCCTACTTATTCACAAGGCTGAGATTTGGATTGAGGTTGGAAACCAGCCTGGGCAGAAGTGTCCATAAGACTCTTCTCTCCAGTGAACCACTAAAAAGCCCAAAAGAGAGCCACACTCCACATGGTAGACAACTAGCTTTGAGAAAAAAAAAAAAAAAAAGCTCAGGGATAGGTCCCTGAGTTAAAGCCCCAGGGACTAGCAAAAAACAAAACAAAACGAGGCAGGGGATGAAAGTATATATATAAAGGAGTCCAGAAATCATTTTCAGTGATGCAGGTTATTTAGAAGCAGCAGATCTGTGCAGTAAGTGTGCACTGCTGTCTCACAAAAGGGTGTCTTTCCCATCCTTTGGAGCCAAAACATACTGAGCGCTTTTCCTTTAGCCAGCGAACAATGTTGTAATTTTTGGTCCTTGTCTTCTAGCCCTGGAAAAAACTCGAACGGAATTGTTTGACTTGAAAACCAAATACGATGAAGAAAGCACTGCAAAGTAAGTCCACATGCCATGCTCTTCTATCTGTGGCCTGTCCTCTGTCCATCTGGGTTTGCCTAGCTGGCTCTAGCTAATCCCTGCAGTAGCAGCCTGGCAGGTTCCTTCTAGAACCTGTGTGGCCACAAGCTCTGGCACACGGGATGGTCCCATGCATTGGCAATCCCATTCTCAGTTATAGTGAGGCCTTTCTCTTTCTCTTGGGAATGATGGGGAAGAGTCAGCACATGAGAGATGGGGCTCAAGCAAGGTTTCCTCTGGGAGCTTGGCATGGCAGATCCTGGCCAGAGTCCTTTACCTACCCTCAGGGTCATTGGAAAGATCAGGTGTCTTAGGTCCTGCCCCACCTCAGCACCATGCAGCGTGGAGATGCACACATTTGAGCTGCAGGGCACCAGAAAGGAGGAAGTAAGAGTTGTTCCACCAGGGCCCAGGCAGGTGCTGCCACTCTAGAGCCTGAGCCCCATTTCCAGGTTCTAAAGGATCTTGTCCTCCACAGATGTGGGCAATGTGCCCGCCAATAGCAAGCTTTCCAGTCACTTCTGTGTGGCCCCAGGCTCTGGTGTGCACAGCACCCCTCTCCCAACCACACTTGCCCCTTGGGATTGGGGAGGTGTGAGCTTCCCCTGAGGACACTGCCAGGCAGCCTCAGCCCTTCTCTGGGTTGGTCCTGAAGGCCTTAAGTGCCCTCCCACCTGGCCCTGCGGTCACCTTGCGTATCCTCATAGTCATCCATCGTTTCCCTGTGGCCTCTGTGCACTGTCTGCCTTGCTGGCCTAAAGTGTGCTGGAGAGCAGACCTCTGACTTCCTATGCTGAGACGGGACGTGGTGGCACAGAGTGAGGTAGGCCAGAGAGGCGATAGTTCAAATTGCCGAAATCCCTTGGCGCTGGCATCAGCGGCTTCCCTCCAGGGACGGTGCAGTCTGAGAAGAGGCCGCATGGCCTGGGGGACGCGCGCTCCCCCTTCTCCACACAGCCCACAGCCTGGGCCCTCCCCAATAGCTGAGGGATGCCAGGAGCCACCCCACCCGCCACCCTTTTCTGACACCTAGCTTGGCTCTTCAGCTGTTTCAAGCAATCTAATCAATGGTTTTACTCAGTGAATGTGATCTTTTAGTGACATTATTTCAGTCTGATGCATTCAGTGTCGTCAATCCTTTGTTAGTACTAATACTTTTCTAAAATCGTTTCATTGAGAGAGGACAGTGTGCTGATTAACATCGTGGTCCCCTTGCTCTTCCCATCGGCAGACTGACTGATGTAATGCCGACGACTGATGACGAAATGCCAGCGACTCTGTGATACATTCAATTCTATCACCACTTTCTTTCTTAGTAAGCCATGCCACTTTCTGAACACCATCATAGTAAATTGTAGGTGTCTGTCACAGTGTGTCTGTAGTCGGCCAGAATTTGCTTTATTTTTCTATTCTGATTTTTATTGCTGTGACAAAATGTCTGACTAAAATGATTTAAAGGAGGAAGGGCTGACCTTAGCTCACAGTTTCAGTCCATAGCTGCTTGGCCCCCTTGCTGTGGGCCTGCCACGAGTTGGAGCATTATGGCAGGAGGGTATGGAGCCAGGAAACAGGCGGGGAAAGAAGGGGCGGGACAAGATGCCCTTCAGAGCCCCGCCCCAGTGACCCACTTTCTCCAACCAGGCCTCACTTTGTAATAGCAGCCCATTCAGTATGATCTCCACATTGGATTAACATAGGGATAAGTTGATGCCCTCCTGATGCAGTCTGCTGACTTCAAACCACCAGCCAAGGACCAAGCCTTCAAAAGGACTTTTTTGGGGACCCTTTACCCTCAAACTCTATCGCATTCATGAGTATGCTTCTGTGTGTCCCATCCAGGTCCTCAGCCATCGGCCCACGAGGACAGCCTTGTACAGCCTGCAGCTGATGCTATCAATACCATGATGGCCTTTGGCAGAAAAAAAGATTCCCATTTGAGAAAGAGCTCTGGTGGCAGGTGTAGTGGTCCCGGCAGCTAGGGCTGGCAGGGCTGTGCCACACACCTGGGCTCGAACAGGCAGAGCAGGGAGGAGGGGCTAGAACCCAGAAGGAAAGGGAGGAGCACTCACCTCACACCTCACCTACCTCACGCCCTGGACTCCCCATGCCAAACCAGGCCACAGAGTAACCCTGTGGTTACCCTGACTCAGAAAGGAAGGAAGGGAGAAAGGGAGGGAAGGAGGAAAAGGAACAGAACACACCAAGCACTCACTATGCGCCCCTCTCTCATTGGCTGGCAAGCAGATCACCTGACGATCGGCATCCAGTGCCACCAGCATGCATGTGACAGGGCTGACATTTTCACGTGTCCTGTGAACCGCAGCGCTCGGGGCAGGCCTTGCCCTGAGTGTCATGAGACAGCTCAGAGCACAAGCTGCTCTCTGCAGAAGGGTAGCTTCACCGTGTGTGGGAAGGGGACTGGGGCCCATGTGGGGGTGGTGGCCCTGGGAGCGAATCCTTCCCTCTGTCCATCCATCTGTCCACCCATCGGTCACACGCCGGGTCTGTCCCTGGCATCCACCCCTCATCATCTGCCTGCACAGTGGATTTGAGCATGGTGGGCTCCAGTGTCTGTGGGGAGTTACAAGATACGTGTATCCAGCATCATGTGAGGTTCCCAGAGCCACGGGCCTCGGAGAGGGTGGCCCGAGTGCCATCACCTCCCCTGCGGACACTCTGCCTGCCTGTCCCCTGCTCAGGGCAGCAGGCGAGGCATGGCTGCAGGGCGGTCGATGGTCACGTCAGCTGGGTGCCCGCGTCAGCTGGGCCAGCAGGGCTGGCCGTGACAGGGGCAGCGGGAAAGTTTTCCGTGTGTAGGCTTGAAGCGAGATGTAATTAGGCTTTATGCGCAGAACAAGGCCTCATTGATGAGCACAGCTGCTCTTTGTTTCCTCCTGTCCCCGCGAGTGGGAGGTAAAAGTGTTCTTCATGTTTATTAATGTGAGATTCCTTAGACAAATGGCAAACCGTTTTAATATCTGCCGGAACATGGGGGACTTGCCAAAACAGTTGTTGTGCAAGCGGATCGCAGGCTTGCACACAAGCACCGTTGCTGGCTCAAACGAATGAATGATTTCTGTCTCCTTCTGTGCTCCTTAGTGGAGACTTACCCCCTCCCCCGAGAGTCACCCCATGTCCCGGTCTCCCCATGTGTCCCTCCTGGCACATGGAGGTAGGGCCTTAGCTGGGAGTCCTAGGCAACTCCCTGGGGTGGCAACTTCCTGCACCGAGCTGTTGCTGCCACCCCAAGAGGGGCCTGGACAGCCCGCCTTCCCATCCTGCAGCTGTCTGCCATCCCATAGCCCCACCTACAGCCACACACACCAGGAATGCCACCCCAAGTGATGTGGGCTCTGGGCCCATAGGAAGGGCTCCATGGTGACGTAGTCCCTGGCCGCCTCTTCACTCTGTCCCCACAGCTGGGGGGCCAGGAGCCCCTGTCACACGTGTGGACACGTGGGCTGGAGCGCTGAGCCCTGATGAAAGGAAATATTGAGTGGTGCTGAAACGCCCCATTTTTCTATAGCTAATGTTAGTCTTAGGGACTCTGCACCGCCCCAGCCTCCCCCAGCAGATGGCGTATTTCTTAGGAGGACTGTGTTTGTGAGGGATGACGTGACATGAGGCACAATTAGGGGCCTCATGGGTGGCATCCAAGAGACACCATAGGGACCTGAGCCAGAGGGGAACCCACACTCCACATCCCAGCAGAGGACAAGATATGGAGGCCAAGGGCTGGGAAGGTGGCTTAGTGGAAGAGTGCCTGCCTAGCATGCATGGAGCCCTGGATTTGATTCCTCAGCACCACATACGCAGAAAAAAAAACAGAAGTGGCACTGTGGCTCACATGGTAGAGTGCTAGCCTTGAGCAAAAGAAGCTCAAGGACAGTGCCCAGGCCTTGAGTTCAAGTCCCAAGACTTAGGATAAAAAATGCAGAGGCCGGTAGCTGAGACACAGCTGGTGTCGTGGGAAGTCCAGCCAGCACGCTGAGGGCGCTCAGGGCTGCGTCACATGGACGCTTGCACGTTTATACCTTCTCTCCTTGAGGCAGCCATTGAGAAAGCACCTACTGTGCCCCAGGCATGCAGAAGAACATCCCAGGAACACACAATCTGTCAGACCCCAAACCTCCCAGCCCAGTATACAGAGCCCCCTCAGCAATGTTCTCAGCCCTCCCTGGGCTGGGGTTGCAGCTCAGTGTAAAAAAAGATAAATAAATAAAGTTAAGTTTTGCCGAGTGCCGGTAGCTCACACCTGTAATCCTAGCTACTCAGAAGGCTGAGATCTGAGGATCACAGTTCAAAGCCAGCCCGGGCAGCAAAGTCCATGAGATTCTTATCTCCAATAAACCACCAGAAAACTGGAAGTAGCGCTGTGGCTGAAGTGGTAGAGCGCTAGAGGAACAGTGCCCAGGCCCACATTCAAGCCCCATGACAAAAAAAAAAAAACTCAAGTTTTTCTCAGAGCTGCACTGCCTGCACGAGGTGGCCCTGAAGGCTTTTTTTTTTCCTTTTCTTCCTTTCTTTCTTTCTTTTTTTTTTTCTGGACCCAGTACTTAATAAATTCAAGGCCTCTTAATCTCACTTAGCTTCCTTGCTCATGGCTGGTACTGTACCACTTGAACCATGCCTCTAGTTCCACATTTTGCTGTCTCGTTGGAAGTAAGAGTCTCAAAGACTTTTTTCCCTCCTGGTCTCAGCCTCCTGAGCAGCTGGGATTACAGGCCTGAGCACAAGTGCCCTGCTGACTCAGTCTGTTTCTGCCCCATAGAGCCCCACTGCAGAGGGGTCTTTCTTTACAGTCTTCATAATTCACAGGAAGGTCAATAGAAACTGGGCAAGATCCAGCCAAGCTGACCAAGCCCAAGTGTCGCACAGTCATCTCAGTCAGGCAATTAGACAAGCATTGCTTCCCCAGCTGAAGTGTCCCGGCACGCAGGCTCCCTCCTGTCCCTTTAAGAATGTGACATATCCCGTGT